GACAAGACGCGTTGATAGTGTGCCGAGTCAGTGGAGATAGCTCTCTGGAGATATTTTGGCAGTTCAACGGAAATAATATAGCTGAAGGTCGGTCGATTCTATCTCTGGGATTGTTATTGTTAGTAGTGAAAGTATAATAATAGTAATGTGACTTTGAATGAATAATTTTCGTGAAGAACGACATCGAGTCGAAAGTTTTGTTCGAAAATGGTGGGTCGATAATTATAATTTGCATAAAGAGACATATTGACCATCTGCTGTTAGTAATTATGGTTGTTGTATAGCATTAGCACTGAGCAACAAATATAGAACGGCATTTTGTATGGGTGAGGATTGGTGGTATTAATGAACAGCCTTAGAAATAGGTCAAGGGATATATGTTTTGTAGGGTGATTGGAGCGTGATAGATAATCTTATTATTATGACATGACATGTAACAGAAAGGTGAGTTGTCTAGCATTTTGTTGCATTCACTGGAATAGATAAGAGAGACTGAGCAGATGGTCGATGTGTAGTGAGATAGCAGAGATTGTAAATTGTAAGTGAATATAAGGTTTGGTTTAGGTGGTCCACGAGGCTATGAATTACGTGATAATAATCAGATGTTGTTCATTCCAAAATTCGAATCGGAACACGACGATGGTGAATATCAGTGCAATGCGGCACAGTTCGCATCGTTTGAGACACTCTCGATAAATGTGACTGCGTATGGTTAGTTGGTATTATTTGTCTTTTTGAGTGGGTTATCTGAGCTTAGACACATCTATCTATATCTCTTTCTGTATTTTATCTTCAGCACCACCGCAGATAACCGTATTCGATGGGCCAACTGCGGGCAGAGCCTACGAAGGACGTACGGCCCAGTTTCAGTGTCAAGCAGTTGGAAAACCGAAACCCAATTATAAATGGCTGAGAAAAACGGTAGGTGCTGCTTAATTCCTTTAGAACTTGGTAGAGTGAATGTATAAGTAGGTGAATGTTGTGCAAAAATCTCGTTTGATATGGTATAATTAGATGGATTGTACGAAGATAGTTCAAGGAAAGATAACGTATCTTGCTCGATGTGAAAGAATATGAACCCAGCTGCGAAAGCATTCATCCGTTTGCCATCATAGTGTATTTCTGATAAGTGATCCATTTGGACATAGGTTCATCAAAATGTATTTTAGGATGGAGGAAAAGAAGAGGAAATTGTAGCAACGGACAAATATTCAGTGGACGGAGGACTTCTGCTGGTGCATTCGCTGATAGCGAACGACGCTGGAGTGTATAGTTGTATAGCGACGAACACGTTGGACAGTCAGCGTTTGGACTTCAATTTGTCGATATTCAGTGGGTATTTTGATGCTTTTATTGGATGAGAGTGATCAGTGGTGAAGTGCGAAACCTTTTAGGAAAGCCAAAGATCGGAAAGATGGAGAATGTGACACGAGAACGCAACGACGTGGTGGAACTACGATGTGCGTTCAGTGGGGACGGTAGAATCGATGCGAAATGGTTACATCAAGGCGTGGAATGGTCCGAGAGAATTACAACTGCGGGTAATGCACTGGTAAGGTGCTTATTATCGACAGACTGAAATAAGAAATAAATGATAAAGGTGACGCTTATTGAGGATGTAACAGCTCTAGCATCGTTCGAAGCAGGTGATTCGGATGACTCCGAGAATGAGACGTATAGTTTCGATGAGGATGATGACGGTGTTGCTGAACACCACATCGAAGACGACGATCAAATTATAGCCGATTACGGCAGGCGGAAACGACAGGTTGGACATTTTTAAAGATTTGAATGGGACGAAATGGTGAGGAATAATGTGATATAGTGGTATGAAGTTGAGTGATCCAAATGGTTAAAGGATGATTCGCGAATCTCGGTTCGTCGTGAACAGAATGCGTTAGTGTTACGGTTGGAAATGGTAGGTGAGGACGATGCAGGTGTTTATCAGTGTGTGGCAGAGAATGAGGCGGGTGTTGATCGACGTTCAACATTTCTTGCGATTACACGTAAGTGGTTTTTAGTTAGTGGTTTGTTTGATGGATGGTTCGATAGTGTTTTGATTGATTGGACGAATGAACAATGAATTGCTTTACTTAGATGAACCAACAATAACGGCGCATAGCGATCAACAGCGTGTACTGATCGGATCAGAAGTGATGTTGTGGTGTGAGGCAAGTGCCGTGCCAGATCCAACGTGGACATGGAATGGACCGAATGGCCTGATCGAAGCAGACGGCACAAAAACATTGATCCACTCTGAAGCGTCTATCACTAAACTTACGGTTAGTTCGTTCAGAGCGCTGATGCTTCATTTCTGGATGACGTTTTAGAATTGTTTGGGTGATTGAAAAAGTGTTGAAATTGTTCACATTATTTTTTGTTGTCAGATAACAAGTACGAGTGGAACGGATTACGGAAATTATGTGTGTAGTGCAGAGAATGGAATTGGTTCAGCCGTACGAGCCGTTATTGAAGTGGTGCAAATATGTATGTTTATTTTGATTAGACGCTGCTGCTGCTGCTGCATGATTTCGTAGCGTTTCTTTCATGTTCGAATGGCAGCACGAATCATTCTTTGCAGTTGTTCCTGACACACCCACCGAGGTGAATTGTCATGCGCATATCTATCCGAATTTTGCAACATGTAAGGTGAATGGTTTCAATAAAGCTGATCAAGGACATCGGCCAACTCGATATGTCTTCTACTTGTCAAGAGATACAGAGGTGGGTGTATTTATCTAGAAGTGTGGCGTTTCTCCCCGTGTGGGCTTTGGCATAGAGTCACGGACGTTGTGGTGGCATATATGGAACGCTTGAAGTGTGGCGTTTCTGCCCATGTACTTAGTGATAGAGTTAGACACGGCTCACGTAGTGGTCATTTGTATAAAAGATGAGCGTGGTTGAAGGTGGACAGTGCGTTCGACTGGCAAAAACAGGCACGCAATGTGAGCATGCCGTTCTCGGTGGATGCCGAAATGCGAATAGCAGATCTGGAGCCGAAAAGCCGCTACACAGTTCGTGTGAAGGCACTGAATGAAGCCGGTGAATCGGCATTGAGCGAAACGGACTTCATCGAAACCACTGATCCATGGGGTGAATGATTTTGAGGAGTTGTTTTTTGATTTGAGGAGTTGATGCTTGTCGATTTGAGTTGTTGGTCATATTAATTAGATTCATATTAGCTGTTTTCAGCAGCAGTACGTTAGCAGATGATGATCATATGCATTGTTTTCAGCGCCTGAAACGCCGCAAGTGATTCACGCCGATTGTTTAAGGGTGTGCTCACTAGCGTGGCGTCCACCGAACGATCACGGTTCACCGATCCACTCGTATCGTGTTTTTATACGCGAAGTACTCAATAAGCATCCGGTTCGTTCGTNNNCTGATCTGATCTGGTAATTTGGTTTCGATTCGTTTAGCGTGAACTGGCAAACGATATGAGTGAGATTCAATTGAGTGGTGACGAACGAAGTGTGGAATTATCACTGTTGAAACCGTTGACAGAATACGAAGTGCGCTTGATTGCAGTCAACGATGTGGGCAACAGTCATCCCTTCACAACAGTCTTGAAGACACCTGGTAAGTCTTTGTTATTTTCGGAGATTGTTGATTCGTTGTGAAGAAAGTTTATCGTTAGTACGTGCATATTGCAGAGTACTCGTTGAGTGATGAGTATAAGATGAACACCAGTTCAACACGACTGATTGTGTTGGCTGGTTTTGTGCTATTATTCGTTCTGATGGTGATCGATGTGATTTGTTTTGCGATGAATCGATGTGGTTTAATTGCGTGTTTCTGCATCAATTGTTTGGGTCGTAATATTCACTCAACGAAGGGCAAGGGTGTTGAGCAAAACACGAAGTTAGTTTATGCTAGTTGTTGAAGTATTTCCTGAAAACGATAACTATTATTATTATTCGTCTATCTTTCAGAGGTGTTGTTACAATGAATTGACTCGATTTTCAGGTCGTCTGAAAGTAATCGGCTGTTGAACGACGGAAAACTCGAGAGTGGCGTATTGTCGAGGTTTGTTTCTCACTGATTCTTTCCCTAGTTTCGGTGATGTTTGCTTGTTCGTACATTTGATTGATTATTTATCTTCATAGTTTGATTATGAAACTCAGCTTTCAGGGATGAGGGGAAGGTGGCAGATGGAGGTGGAACAGGGCCACAGTCGACATCAGTCTGACCCGACAAGGGAGGATACAACTTAAGGTTCATTTCTTTTATCTACCTTACACGTACCTTTTTGTGTTGTATGTATGTTATTGTTTATATCATCATGTCTATTATTATTGTCTCAATTACCAACATTAATTATGAATATACTGCCATCGTTGATCTATCCGTTTGTCTGTCTCATCGCAATGTTTTGATAGTTTTATTTATTTATTGCTGCAAGGTGGCACAATAAGATCTGGAATGTTTATCTCTAGGCGTCGTAGAAATGAGAATTTTTTGATCACAAAATTCGCGTCGGTTGGATAAGGTGTGCAAGAGTTGGCGTTGTGCCAAGAATTCGTTCCGGTTCGATGTGAAATCTGAATGAAGATTTTGCGAACCGAAACAAAGTTTCGGTTCGCAAAATTTCGGTACAACAACGCCAATTTTGGCGAGCGTTCAATTATTGGTCTGTTTAAATTTTGTGTTGGTGTTGGTGTGGTTGTGGGGTTTGCAAGCCGTAGAGAAGTGAGTCCGGTTTGGAATAGGCGTTTGAGCGCGTTGACGGTGCAGAAAGTAGACGATGGGATAGCGGCCGATTCGTTAATATTGATAAATGTTTCGAGAATGAAAGCGAGATGTTCATCTATCTGATAGTCGAAGAAATTGACGTGTTATTGAATTCACTTGTTTGATGCACTCTTTAAAACGAAGTAAAACAGTGTTATGATAATTAGCCGTGGAAAATAATACGAAGATGTTTTTTTAGATTCATTCCCGAGAGATTCTATTAGATCTGAAACTGTGTGAGATCCCTTTGCTGCATCTTATATGTATTCGTAGGAAACTTGTTCTGTTCCAATTTGAGATTGGACAACTTCTCTTTTTCTGGACACTTAGGGATGGTCATTTTTGTTGTAACGATAGTTGGGTTTACGTTTAATTAATGAATGGAATTTATGTTTAACGATGCTGTTGATATAGTTGATTGATTCTTGTACATTAGGCAGGCAACCGTCTTTCTCATCTGATTGATTTTGTCTTATTGATTTCATTCGTTGATCACATCGAACATGTTTTGTTCCTCAAGTCTCTCGTATATTACTCCCAAGCATTTGGCGGGTATCTTGCATTTGTATTCTGAATAATAATTGTCATTATTGTTACGCAGTCACTTACTTATACATATTCATTTGAATTGAATTGAATTGAATAAAATAAACGAATAAAGAGAAAATGGTTTTGTTCGTTGATAATGTTGACTGCTAGTGTCTTTTGGCCATTTTATGCTTGCATGAGCTTCACTACACCTTATCTAGCCCTCTCTATCACTGCATTTATTACCTCTGTTCACCTCTTTATTTGGTTGCTTATCGAGTATTCTGTAATTAATCCATCTTATGCACGAACTCCTGTGTTGGCGTCTTGTTTGCTTTACTTCAGTTCGTTCACATTGCTGATAATTTTTGCTAGATATGTTTTAGTTTCATTTTTTCTTTCGTTTCAGTTCTGCATGATATATAATATGCTTTTGATGGAATACGTTCAGACGCGCCTCTCACTCTTTTTTGAGGATTGTTTCTTCGTGTTCGCAATCAGCAGCAGCAGCAACTTTTATTTGAGCGTTGCTTCAATGTTAGTTGCTTTTAAAGTTTGGTAATTGCATGTTAACGTGTTTAATGTGGCATTGTAGAACGCACCACATGAGCTTCACTACACCTTGTCTATCCCTCTTTATCCAGTCACGTCTGCATCTATTACCTTTTTGTTCTCTTCACATCTTTATTCGGTTGCTTATCGAGTGGGAACACGACAATTGACCAAGCGACATCTGCCAACACGACGTTTCGCCAAAAAAAGTCGGTCACACAAACTTCGTCTAGGTTCAACGTAAGCGTAGCCTCAGCGTAAGCCTAAGCGTTCGCGAACGAAGTTTGTGTGACCGACTTTTTTTGGCGAAACGTCGTGTTGGCAGATGTCGCTTGGTCAATTGTCGTAGACCCTTATCGAGTATTCTATTTGTACTAGAATTGACAACCAGTTGAATTACATTCAAATGGATAGCAAATGGCACGGCATGGCGAAGCAGTTCGTTTATTTGCTTGCAAATTACTGAGTTTCACACTTTGAATGCGCTATCAAACACAATGGCAAGTGCATAACTATTTAATAGCTGACGTGAAAATTAAAATGCATCCATCACCAAGCAAAAGTCTTTATGATGAAAATTATCTGTCTGCATAAAGTTGTAATGAACATGTCAATCAACCACCACATAGCAGTGATGAACCAAGCATCCGGGCAGCGGGCATTCACATCATTGCATTCAGATCGGCGATCGGCAATCGAATCGATTCGACGGGTCGGCGATCGGTCGTCGGATCGATTGGACGGATCGACGATCGCGACTGCGTTGTTGACAGCTTAACGTAACCTTTCAAAACAGAACGAAATCGTTGAGTACATTCAAATTTGAGCGGTGTTTTATCAAACAGTCTTTATTGGTTAGCGATAAACAAGAAAAGCGATAAATCTATTACATGTTGATATCACAGTTGACAAATGAATATCACGGTGAATAATGATAGGAACAATGCGAAGGAAGATGAGTAGTGGGATGTAGAACTCGGACTGGGTTCGACGGGTATGCCTTCCACTGGAAACATTGAACGTCTTGAGGTAACCTGAAACTTGCAATTTAGTGTTATTTGTACTAGAATGAGCATCTAATGTTCGAATAGAAAACAGTAAAATGGTCGATTGATTGCACAAGAACGCACATAAAAGAAGGTTCCTGCGATTGGGTCACCGAGTTGAACTCCCGTAGGCGAGCGACTTAAGAAAGTGGACAAATGTGGTAAATACGTAAGAATATCCGAGGTGATGTTGGTTGTGATCGGTTGCTTAGTGCTGAACAGAAGTGCGGTGTACTGATGACGATCTGAAACAAGGTGATAGGAGCAGCATTGATCACTTCTAGTTGAGACAAGACACTTTTTTGAAAGAAGTAACAGAAAAATGAGGTCGAATAAAAAAAGCAAAACAGAAAAATGAAATATTCAACGAAATGAACAAACAACTGACAGGTCGCTTGCTCGGGTATTGGTTTGTGGCTGATTGCTCCGAAGAATTGCTCTTGCTTTGTATATGAATTCGAGATGTTGACCGCAGATGACTGCTCAATTTCATCATCGTAATTAATGTTGTAATTCAAAAAGATCGCAGTGCTTCGATTCATATTCGCATCTGAAAATTTCTATAATCAGAGAGTTAAAGCGATGGGTATTAATTAGATTGCAAAGATGTAGACAAAAAGTTGAGTAATTTATGATAGATACCAATTAGAAGAAGTAGGTGCAGGAAGGTGGCTTGATGATTAGTCAATTTAGTGCTTAACTGAAATGACTGTATGTTGGCGATAACATAGTTGGGATAGTTGAGCGCACTTATATCGTCATTCATATGCACCACAGGTGATTGAGTGTTGTAGTTGAAGTTATTTAGATGAATCTGAACATGCACGATATAATAGTGACTGCAAAAGAGGATCAGAGACTTACATTGTCAATGCTTGAGGTGGGTACTTTGGGTATGATTTGAGGTGACAACTGCAACGCTTCAAACCCTGAATAAAATAGGTATGTTACGAATTGGAGATGCAATTAGATGAGTGTTAAACACTTACAGTCTTGGAGAGTCATATGAGACGCATCGCAACACTGATAAACGTATCGATCAGAGGAGTTTTGATCAGTATGGTTGGTATCGATCAGTTTACTTAAACGACATGCTTGGCCGTGAGCGCATTGAATTGGATTGGGAGGATCACAAGCTTTGAACTCATACTGAATCGTACTATCGGGACATAGATAGTAGACTTGTGATGTAGATAGTTTTGATGGCATAAGCACTGAAATGAATTGATGAATAATACTGAGAGTAGGGTTTATCGTGGATGTTACTTGAATGCTGATTACTTACCTGGAATCGCTCGATTGTCTTCTTTAGCAAGTATGAAATGAGCAACTGAAACGATTATAACTGCGCTCACGAGAGAAGGCATCCCGTTGAATCGACAAGCAATCTCAAGTGACCAATTTGAATCTGAAATAGGAATGAGCCTTCATTGAGTGGTCATCTTCGATTAGATTAGAAATTTAGGGTGAAATACACACACACACACAAATTTGATTTAGGGTGAAGCATTGAATCGATTGAAAGTCAGTTGATCATGCGATCAGATCGGCAGCATTAAAATATTATAGATAGTGGTGGGTGATGATAGTTTTTGCGTTTGAAATTATGAATGCTGGCTGCATTAATGCAATAAAGTGGCGATATAACTTAATGGTATAATTCAATTCAAAGCGGATAGATTAATGGATAGACGAGCGATGAGCGATCGAGATATGATTCAGCTCAATACAGGATAGCAGCCAATGGTGAAAAATGAATGCTGCTTAGGCTTAGACTCATAATTGATTTGATTTACGTTGACGAAACGGCTCAGGTGTTCAAACGTTACTGTGTAGACTTTATGATAGTTTCTAGCTTTGTTTGTTATTCGTTTAGCTATTCATTGGGCATGAACATATTCGGAAAGCAATCAAACAACTCAGCAGCAGCAGTCATATCGTTTACAAACAGAGCGAATAAAGTGCGATACGGAGAGAGAGAAATTAAAGCTTTCAATGACTTTGCTTGAATTATTCACTTGAATTGAGTTAGCATTTAGTTGGCCTGAGATCGAGCACTCACAATCAGTCTTATCTTCTGATCATTGATTATGTTCTGATCATTGTCGCAAACCGTTACGTCGATTTGCGATCAGTTCAAATGACAATTCAATGGTGAACATGCTAGGGTTGAAAGCGTTCACTAGCACCAACAGTGAATCTTTGATAAGTTCGTAAAGCAGAGCTGATTTGTTGATTCGCTCGGCCTTAACTAGAAGAAGAAAAATAAGAAACTTTTTCAACTGAATCACGCGGCGCATCATTTTGTAGGCTATTTGTCTTCATTCGCTGGCTCATGAAGAATGTTCACTAATAATATTTTGTCGAAACATTCGCAAAAAGGTCGATCCAATAGCGTTAGATGTGTTGTCCGATTGCAAAACTTGTCCGATCCTTAAATTTTTCCTTGAGTACTTCTATAATGCCATGCTCGTGTCTCTTGTGAGTTGGTTACACGAACGACATTGCTTTCTGCCTAGGTAATCATTTTTTGCTTGTTAATTTCACGACGATTTAATGGTAGTATTTGCACATCTATCTATTGTCAAGCAATTCATCACACTTTGTAGGTATAATAGCTGAAGAATTTCATTGAATTGTCATTCGTCTGATGCAGTGATCGCTTAATTTGATCTCCTGTTGACGATCGAGCTGATATAAGAAATAAACTGAATTAGATATGATGAGTACTTGCATCTTACGGAAGTTATCTTCTCACAATCAGTTGACGCCTGTAGTGCATGATCGTCTAGAGGTGTGAAGTTATGATATATCTTCATTTTCGGGTATACATCTGCAATAGCTCTTACTAAAAAAACCTTCTATTGTGGTTAATTGATAGGAGGGCCGACCTGAATGGCTCCGTGCCGGATGCTTTAAAAAAAGTTTCCTCAGTGAAGCAGCAGCAGCAGCAGCATTTGTGAAATGGCTTTGCGGATAGATAATTGCCCGAGCTCATTTAGTGTTAACAAATATCTTGAAAAGATAGCTAGAGATGCTCAACTAAGGTGCAATAATCAGTGCAAAATGCGATTATAAAAGATCGCAGTCGAATAGAAGAGATATAGCCGAGCGCAGTTAGGCCAGATTAGATCATTAGAGAGATATGATCGCACAAGTGAAAAACAGTTGTAAGCTTGCCGCCGACTTGAGATCGCAACTCTATTTTATGTTAACAGCTTAAGGCTTAGGCTGCTCCTTTTAGCGTTAAGAGCCATTGCTGTTCCACTTGAATTGAATTGAATTGTTCGTTATTATTTGTGCTTTGTTTCGGCTTTTTGAACTTATCATATACACATACATACATATATATTTCTTCTTCTAAAATCGTGCCTATTGATCTATTCTACCTACTATTATTCACGATTACAATTCATCGTTGTTATCACTACTAGTGAGCGTTGGTGTGTTTCGATTGCAGATTTTAATCGTGAACGAATAGAACGCAAGTAAGTAAGTGTGGTAGGTATATGGATCGTGGAAATGCTTGGGATTTGGTACAAGAGACACCAAAAACTCAACGACAAAAGTCGCAGAGTCCGTCATGTCGATCGCGTAAATCTGAAGTTAGTATCCTCGTTGTTTTAGGATGCTTTTCACTTGTCATTTGCATGTAGACTTGCTGCAGGTGAATACCTAACGATCACATCAATTAATCTGAGCCGTCAAGTTATAATGAAACGTACATGATTTATTTAATTTCAGAAGCAGCTGATTGATTTGGACGTGGATACTGTCGAGATACCGCCAGAGGAATTGTCGATGATTATCGATGAAGAAGTGCGCAGAGAATCGGAACGACGAACACGTCGTAGTCGGTTAGTGGAATGACTAGATTGATGACGACTGTGAATGTGAATGAATAATCGTGAATGATCTATCTAGATCGCCAGCAGTGGAATCGCTCCGTAAAGTGAGTCGAATCGTGCTGCAAAAAGTGGGTATACGTCAGAAACGTCATTCACAAGTGCATGACACAAGTCCACGAGGCGAAATTCCTTGGATTGAACTTGGTTTGCTATGCACCAAACCAATCACCTACATCTACGAACGTAAAGTGGAGCCATTTGTGTCGCCACGTCGTCCACTCAGCGCACACAGCTCATTCAGTTCATTTCGAGATCGCTTTCCGGTTGAAGAGAAATGGTAGGTGAGAAATGCTTGTTCTTTATTTATTTATTTNTTTTTTGTTTCAAGCGCATATTTGTTCCGCGGTGATTCTCTGCAAGAGCCGTTGGCGACGGTACCTGAAGAACTGGACCGTGTGCACGTCTACGATCCGTATTGTCCAGTACATGGCTCAAGAAGACGTTTGACGAGGCGACGACCGATTCGAGATCTAGGCAGTTTCCAAGTGACCACAATTGATTCGGTGGAAATCAACGAGCCAACGTCGGAGATTCTGATCAGGTCAGTGAAATGCCAATAGCGTTCTGATAATAATTTGGAGCATTTTAGTCAAGCGTATGCTGCGAAAATTATACGCAAACGACGTCGAGCGACACGAAGTCGTCTCGAGAAGATTCGTTTTGAGAAGGCAAAATGCAAGATTCGCATGAATCTCTGGGTGATCAGTGTGGCTTTTTTGTTTCTGTTCACCGCTTTCCATGGACTGCAAAACTTACAAACCTCACTGAACGGTCAACTTGGTGCTGATAGTCTTGGGTTAGTTGATTCGATTTGATTTGATTATGATATGCGTATTAATCGTAAAAGAAATAAATTTCAGTGTATTTTATATAAGTCTTGCAATCTCAGCACCTTGTGTTCCGCCGTTCATGTTGAATCGTCTTGGCTGCAAATTGACAGTAGCGACGTCAGCCGGTTGTTATATGATCTATATGATCGCCAATTTCCTGCCCAAGTTCGTGCTCATATTGTAGTGAATTTATCGATGAATTAACCTACTAGAACTGTTCTCTGTTCAGATACTATTCACTACTACCAGCGGCTGTGCTGGCTGGTTGTGCAGGAAGTTGCCTGTGGGCAGCAAACTGTGTTTATATTCTCGAAAGTGGTCTGAGATATGCACAAATCAATGTGGAAGCACAAAACGTTGTGGTTGTAAGGTATTAACGTCAATCTGCCGATCATTTTCAAAGTGTAATGTTAAAATGCAGGCAGCTGAAGTGAAAAGTGGTGAATGAAATTGCAGATTTTTCGGTTATTTCTTTATGATACTACATCTTGGACAAGTAATTGGCAATCTTCTATCATCATTCATACTGACCACAGTTACGGGATATCAAAAACCGGCTGATCGCGTTGAAACGTCGTAAGTGACTTTTGATTCAGCCTTAATAATCACACTGATAATTGAATGACTGTTGGTTCAAGCTCGATAATATTATTCGTAGAGCATTCATGAGGAGTGTGTTGTTGCGTTAAAAATTGAACATTTGAGCTATCATTGATAATTACTGATTATGTCAGTTGTGGACACTTGTATCGTGAAAATGTTACGTTGCTAAGCGAACGAGCTGCCGAGAATCTGCGTAGACCACCGCAAAGTGCTTATTTGGCTGTGTGCGGTGTGTATTTTTGCTGTACAATAGTGGCATTGATGATCATTTTGATGTTCCTGAATTCACTTCGTAAAGATAAACTCGCACGGTTGGTTGTTGACTGGTTGTTCTATTTGATGAGGAGTTTCGTTGAATTGTGTTCGTTTACAGACAGAAAGCACCGTATTTCTCGACGGACGTTCTCAAAGTGACTTTGTACAATATCACGCATCCACGACAAATTATGCTCATCCCACTGACGATTTTCAACGGAATTGAGCAGGCGTTCGTGGTTGGACTTTATACGAAGGTGAAGTGTGTTTTGAGGTTGAGAAAAGATTGAGATAAGCACTGGTTGAATAGTTGTTGTCTTAGGCATACGTTGGATGCGGCCTAGGTATCAGTCAAATAGGCTTTGTGATGACGTCGTTCGGTGTGGCTGATGCCATCTGCAGTCTGGTGTTTGGACCGTTAATGAAGCTGTTCGGACGAATGCCTTTATTCGTCTTTGGTGCGGTCATTAATATGCTTATGATCATGACGCTTATGGTTAGTTAACTCGTATAAATAACAATGATAGTAATAAGAATATTTGAGATATGGCCATTGAATCCAGGCGATACAGCGCTATTTTACGCGATCGCTGGTGTTTGGGGTATGGCGGATGGTGTTTGGAATACGCAAATAAATGGTCAGTTTCAGATGATATTGCTTTGAAGAGTTTGGTGCACGAAGAGTGATATAAATCATATGATTCAGTGGGCATTTGTTTAGGTTTATGGGTGGTTTTATCGAACGGTAATCTGGAAGGAGCGTTCGCAAACTACCGAGTGTGGGAGTCATTCGGGTTTGCGATCGGTCTCCTTCTGACACGTTATACGACAATCGCACAATTTTTGGTATTTTCATTCACGATCCTTCTGATCGGCATCAGTGGATACGCTGGTGTGGAATTCTACGATCAGTTAGCGGTAATAGTTTCATCTTATGCTATCTTAATGCTGCTATCTTGAGCATAACATTATTATTATTATTATGAAATTATAGGTTTATTTCAAGAGTATGTATGGTGTATGTCTTGCTGATATTATCAATACTCGTAATGATAATATCGATAGCAATATTTATAATAAAACAAGTAATGGTGATCACAGTAATCACGACAGCGATAGCAAATCGAACAACTATTGTAAAGTTTGATGAGTGGTTAGTTGCCTAGATTTGGTCATTTTTTAATATTTAATTGCTTAATAAATTCATTGAATTGTTCTCTTTTCAGGAATATATTTTTGATTAATTCAAGCGACATTGGAGAAAAGAACAACAATTCTAACCTAGCCATTCGGTCTTGAGGCGATAGACCAGTGCCGGTCCCAAGCCCGGAAGAATAGGGAGGGTTGGAGACTGAGGTGACGCCAGTCTCCTTAAAACATCATGCTGAAGC